AAAGCTATTAAAATAAATCAATACTTTTTGAGTTATTAAAGATAAAATATTTTAATTTTTCGTGAAAAAAATGCATTAATTACTATTTAACTGGGAATAAGCCACAATTAAAGATAAAAATACGTTTATTGACGTTTCAATTTCCACTTCGGAAATCGTTCTCAAAATACAAATAGTAAATTAAACAATTTTTTTTTTGTTTCATAGTGAAAAATTCTTCTAATAATTTAATTTTATCCGAGTCATTTATATTGACAATTCAGACATACATTATGCATTTTAAAGTAGACGACTTTAAAATGATATTGCCAATATTGTTGAGTTGCGCTCCTGGGACGACGTTACTTATAAGATAGTTCATTCGATTACATGAAATCAACTTTAACTTGAGAATATCCGTCAGAAAAAAATCATAGCATGTAATTCGTCTTTAAAAAGACAAACACATGACATGATGACAGTAAAATTCTCCTGTTAGTGATTCCATAGTAAATTATGAGGGAAAAACCAGGAAAAAAAACCTTATAATACTATCCCGACATGGTAAGTATTTGTTCGTGCATTTAGTTTACCTTCAATAAACACCAAAATTCTGATTTTATATGTTTCGTTATTTAAAAAACATAAATGATGTATCCTTTATAAATTTAAAATGCCACAAGAAAATAGCTTCAGAACAATATTAAAAAAATGCATGTTTTAAACCGGTTTTTCATAAATAACTCAAAAACTATAAGTTTTAAAAAAAAGTTGTCATTACCAACATTGAAGCTAATAAAAAATTATAAATACATAAGCATAAATAACGTGAAAACAATGCATTTTATAAAATATACTTATTTTATAAAGTGAGCTCTATAAGAAGTTGATAGCATCAAAATTAAGCAAGTTATGATGAAAATAAGAGGATCCTTCCGAATTTTTTTGGAAAAAGTGAAAAATAAAACATACGCCATTTCCGCAAAAATTAAAATTTATAGTAATCCCCAGAAGACTTTCTTTATTTTAGCATAAGTAATAACCTCAAAGATTTTGACCGGTTTAGAATGCCTATTTAAAAAAAAATTGATTTAAAAAAATCAGAATTTTTCAAATTTTCATAAATTTCATTTTCTTTTGAGAATAACTCCAATTATACTCTGTATTTCAAAAGCTTGATATTACCTTAAACAAGCATTATATATATATATATTCGGTTTTATAACGTCTTACGACGTTGTTCGACTCCCAAACGCCACTGTATTTTGTCTTGAGTTAGGTCTTCGTCCAGATTTCGAGCGCTAATCGCTTTCCTAACTCCCAGGTTCCAGCTCCGTGGTGGTCTTTCTCATTTTCTCTTCTCTGGGGGTTGCCACATCATCGTTTTTTAGGCAATCTTTCGTCCCCCATTCGGCTCACATGCCCATACCATATGAGCTGTTTTCTCTCAATATCCTCAACTATAACGCCCTCTATACCCATTTGTTGTATTATCCCTTCATTCCGTATTCTGTCGGCTCTTGATATTTTTATGGATATTCTGATGGCATCCATTTCCGTAGCTTCCGTGGCAATTCATTGTAATTATCATAAGATCTTTGAGGAATATATTTCCTATTTGAAAAGAAATTTCGGTAGTAACGTAACTGTTCGTTTTGATTCTTACGATGAAGATAATAATAAGGCTGCAGAAAGGAATCGTCGGTCATAAAAGGTTACTTGTAAAGAATTTAAGTTTCCAAAAAATATGCCAGAAGCTGTTAGTGAAGACAAATTTTTGAGTAATTATAAAAATAAAAGGTTTTTTTATATCATATCTTATGGAAAAACTAGAAAAAAATCCATTAAATGCAAGAAAGGAAAAGGAGAAGCTGACGAATTAATAGTAGAGACAACAATTTAGGATAAGGGCTCAAGTTTGCCAAAAGTTATAGTAGCAGAAGACATTGATGCTTTAGTTATTTTAACTGCCCGAGCTAAAGCTGATGAAGAGATTTATTTTTTGAAACTTGGAAAACAAAATGTTAACTCCGTGATATATTCTTTTACCTTCATTCACTGTACTATAAATAAATAAACGTTTAACGATTTTTACAATTTTTTACGATTTCTCATGAGATCAATAACCATCCATTGACTTACATACATTATTGGATGCCAATCTTTAAAACATATCGCCTGAAATTGCGATTTTGAGTTTTGGAAACAAATTTGAGGCATTTAAAATATGCCTTAAAAAAACTAAATTTAAACTTTCACATTACAAACGATCTAAAACATTTAAAACTAATTCTTTTTGATTACACAAGTACATTTTTCGACACCACACAACTTCAGGTACAAATTCCACCGAGTGCCTCGTGAAAGCATTTCCTGTGCCGTGTTTGTGATGTGTTTCATATTTTTTTGGGCATATTTCAAATGCCTTACATTTGTTGCTAAAACTCAAAACCGAAATTTCATGCTATATGTTTTGAAGATTGGCATCCAGCAAATTTGCATTCTAGGTAAAATTCAGCTTGTTTGTATGATTTTTAGAGATCAAATTTGTGACGACTGGACTAATATTTCTTAAACGTGTTGCTTGTAAAACCTATTTGCCAATTAAACTAACTAGATATAAAATTAAAACTAAACTGTTTCAAACAATAATCTTTTCTATTTTCTCGTTACATTGTGCGGGAGAAACACTTAAGATTTCCTCTGAAAATATCTTAAAGTGGCACATAAACAACTTTATATTCTACTTTCCTTGTAGCTTAAGTGCCATGTATTTTATCCACACTAAAGGACAGAGACAACCTTATGGCCGGTTGCAAGCCTGTGTATACATATTTGCGAGATAATGCTGTTACGGATTTCTAACTAATTGTTATGGTTACTTATGTGCTCACATTCAGCGGCGCGTCAGTTTATAAAAATAAAATGATTTTTTTGCTGTTGTTTATAATTAAATGGTAAATGTTAATACTTCTTGTTAATACCTCTTCTACTATTGTTGCATAGTGGGTAGTCGCTTAAATAAACGTATAACATAGATACCTCATAACTTAAATAAATAATTATACAGGATGGAACAGCAAAAAAAAATAATTCGATAATCAATAAATGCGAGCGTTTTCAAAAAAAATGCTCGGACACTTCCATTAGCATTTTTACTTGTCCATTTTTTACCAATACCAACTTTCTTATTTCAAATTAAACACCTTTTATATTATACACCATTTGTAAAAACATTTTTTTAACAAATTTTAAATGTAAAGTTTGCCGATAATAATTTTCTAAAAAAAATATTTAAATTTTTTTATTATTTTACGAAGGACATGCTTAATATATTAAAAGTTAATCTTTTTTGCAAAATTTGTGCAAAATAGAAGTACTTACTTTAGAATTGTAAACTTTTTTTTTAATAATAAACACTTTCAACTATCTATTCCCAAATTTTTCTTCGTGATTTTTTTGGGGTTTCGCAAAATTTTGTGTTTATTGACCGGGCTATTAGGTGTAGAACCAGAGGTGTAGGCATTATATAAAATAATATTTAACTTAAAGCTATCGTAAGAAAAGAGTTTCAAAACCTCTTTAAGGTATTTCCTGACTGGAAAATATTCGAGAGTTGTATAATTGCAGCTTAGTAAACTTTGTTGGATCAGCTGCCAATAAGTAGCTCAATAGACTTTATCGGAGCAGCTGACAGTAAGATACGGATAGCTATAATGATAACCAACTTCTGAGAGCGGAAGGAATCACAAGAAGAAGGAGAGGCCTCTCCTTAGAAAGTTATTAAATTGAGTAATTAAGACATTTTATAAATAACTTCTTTGATGTTAAGTGTTCTACTTAAGAGAAGACAAAATGCGAAGAAAAGAAGAAAGTCTTTTTCCAATACAGAACACAACAAACACAACAGGCATACAACCACTATAAACGCATCAGAAATAAAACGAATACTTTAGTTCGACAAATAAAAAAGGAACACTGGCAAAGTTTCACAAAACAGATGGAACACGACTTCTACGGAACATAAAAAGAAATATGGAGAATAATCAGAGGACAAAGAAAAGAGATGAACGAACTAATAAAAATAAAACACATTCAAAAAGAAACATGGGTAGACTGGTTTCGATCCCTATTTGCTAAAGGTGACGATAATGAACCACCACCAGGAGAGGACAGAATACCGAACGAACTCCTAAAGTACGGAGGACCAGATCTAACCAAACAACTATTAAAACTAATTAAAAAAATAATAGAACAAAACAAAATTCCTCAGGAATGGAGATCAAGCATCCTAATATCTCTCTACAAAAATTAGAGGAAGAAGAAGAACGTTATGTCTCTACGGCTTAATACTACAGGCTTTAATTAGAACATAGCATAAACTATAACAGGCACATGCGTAGATGATATAAATATAGTGATACCTATTGTTACGATAATAAATATTATGGCGTATAAAACTGTGAATATATTATGACTAATTCTTTTCTATTTCTAGTAATTTCGACGCTGGATTGAAAGACCTGTTTACCTGCCGGCAGAAATCTCTAGTCGTTCGCCGAAATACCAGTCCATGAGTTACCTTGTCGTCTAATGGATGGAAAGTCATCGATTCATCGCCAGATCCTTCTGGTCTAGCAGCTGAATGAGTATATAAAAACGGAGCTTTCATTGCGGGAGCAGTCAGGAACGAAAATCGCGATCGGGTATTTAAATGTAACGATCGTAATAATAAATTATTATTATAAGATAAATTATTATAAATAAACTTTAAATAAATTAAGTTTGTAAGTGTTATAAATATTGAACCTTTAGTAAATTAAAATAAGAACAATAAATTAGAATTGCTTTATTATAATATAAATTGCTTTATTGGTTGAAATATAAAATGTTGCAAATAGAACTTTGTTGTAAAATTTTTTAACGCATGCAATGTTAGTAATTAGTGTAGCGAAGCTTATTAGCCATTGTAAGTAGTTTTACTTGGAAATATTGCCCATTACTATTAATTTCAAACTTACGGTTTTTTAGTACAATAATGAGAGCATTTCTAGAACTGGTAGGTTTGCTTCTAGTAGAAAAAATTCTTATCGTACCCTTATATTTAGGTGTCGTTCTCGTCCTAGACGTTGTTCTTGAAGTAGTCTTCGAAGTGGTTCTCCAAGCTGGTCTAGACGTGGCCTTTGAAGTAGTTCTCGATCTCGTTGTTGATTTTGTCTTTGGAGTGGTTTTTGATGGAAATCTGGAAGTAATTCTTGAACTGGTTCGCCAGGGAAACCTTGGAGTAGTTTTTAAAGATGTTCGTGTCGTGATTTTAGAAGTACGAGGTATCGTGGGTTTTGTATGCGGTGCTCGAGTTGTCATTTTTGGTGTATGCGTTGTTTTATAAGGAAGACTGGTAGGATATATGAATGGGCATCTTCTTCCGCACGTAGATGTAGGGCAAGGCAAACAGTATGAGTTGCATCTGGTTGGTACGTAATATTGTGGCTGTGGTATGACATATCGTGGTGGAATTATTTTTGGATTTAGTTGATAAACATTACCATCATTATTTGGTTGGTAATTAAACACATGTCGGTAATGAGGTTGCTGCTGATAATACTGAGCATACCGCTTGCACCTAGCTATTCTTTTTAGGAGTTTCTTCGAGTATCTGTTTTCTTCTAAATCTTCAGAGTTTTCTAGTATACTTAAATTCTTGTAATATATGGGTTCAAAAATTGTAAATAATTCATTGGGACTAACACTGACACTTTTGATTGTTTCGTAACCATGGTGATTAAAAAATAATGAAAACAACACTATCGCGAACAGTTCTTCCTTCATTATAATCTTTTTAACGGGTTTTTAACATATTTCATAGTTAAAAACATTTGTTCTGTAAAAACCAGTAAGTCAATTGCAATTTTTTAAAATTATATTAAATTTTTATAAAAGTGTAACTTTAAATTATTTTACTTTAACTAAGATCTACTAATTTCATGTGTTACGATTTAATAATAATATAACTGTATTCTTTTTGTATATACAGAGAGGCCCAAAAGTCTGGAAACGGCCACTTATCTCGTAAATTGCTAGTTATAATTTGTACAAAATTTAAGATACACCTATTTTGGGAAACGGAGATTCAATATTTATTATTTGCAATGTTGCCATTTCTCTTATATTATTAGTAACTTTGGTTTTTCAAATTCATCATGTATATTCAGTCATTATTGGAATCTCCTATTCAATACGAGTTCAACCATATGTACCACTTACGAGTTTATGTAGTTTAGAAGATCTTAAATACATAAAAAATAAAGTCTGGCAACGCCTAATTGTCTCAATAAATGTTTTAATACTAACTATTTTTAACTGCATTAAAATATAACAATTAATAGATTACAACATTGTTTAACATAATGGTTACTTTATCATGTGTTCAAAATGTGCTCCATGTGAGTTGACAGTACTCTAATCGATGGTAGAATGCATCTTTTTCCATGATTATCTAAAAATTATTCGAGATTCATCGATATTTCGTTGCCTTAGTTCTACAAGACTTGCTGGTTTAGTTTTGTAGACGAATTTTTCAAGTATCCCCAATAAAAATACTCTTTAGAATTGAAATCAGGTGAACGTGGAGGTCATTCAATTATACCTCGTCTACCAATCCATCGTCCAGGAAATACTTCTTCTAAATAACGCCGAACATTACACCAAATTTTGTAAAATTATGACAAGCAATTACTAGATAGATACCGATGAGTAAGACCAATAGTTAGTTATATTTTTCTACTTATATTTCAAGAGTCACAGTTCAGGCCAGAACGAGAGATTCAGTTTATCGAGAGGAGAAGAGGCTAGCATAATTTGAACGATACGTGCATTTGAAGGAGATCATTAAAGACGATAGGCTCGCAACAATTTGTTGTAAGATCGCTGATTACCTAGCGGACTGCTAAGAATAGATAGTGTAGGCTACAAGGAACAAGGATTTGGACAACTCATCATCCGAGAGATAGTTTTACTATTCATCAGTTTTTCTTTAATAACAACACATTTGTTTTTACCATTGCTTTAGAAAAGATAGGAATATTTTGATCAGGAGATTTAAAACAACAATTTTGATTTGAGATTTTTTTTTATTGAGTTAATGGCTCGACAACTATGATCATTGGCATGGTACAGTCAGGTACCTAGTGTAGTGTGTGTATGTGTACAGTAATTGTCTTAATACTTAGCAAAGTCGACGTCATTGTCTTTGCTAAGAGACGCTAATTGTATCCGAACGTCTGCGGTCCCTCCGGTGAGTACCGATCGCAGATGGATAGAAATGATTTTCATTCATTAATTTTTAATAAACGAAAATTTCTCTACCCAGATGGAATTCGAACTCACGACCTTTAGGTTTAAAGGTAGGCGCTCTTACCACTGAGCCACAGAGGGGGTTTAGATTTGAGATTTAAATTTATATTGTATGTACCATAAATTTTGAAGGTTCACGTACGTAGAACAAAATCACCATTATATGAGATATTTTTTATTGAAGATATTTGAGTGTGAATTTTATTTCAATATATTTTTATTTCAATAAATAATGTTGTATCATATATGTTTTTATTATTCCGGTATTCTTTGGACCTTACCTATCATATGTAAAGCATAGATATTGAAGCACGAGTATACCCCTGAGATAAGAGAATTAAATAGTGTGATAGAATCTTAACTGCATCTTTTAAATAAGTTTAATTGATTAATTAATTAGCTAATTAATTGCTTGACGCACCTCAGACCTTTAATATCACATTAATATATATATATATATATATATATATATATATATATATACTGCATATCTGCACCACAGTAGTGCAGTGATCAGTGAACAGTGTAGTAGTGTCTGGGGGCTCGGGAGACTGAGACCTCGGAAGGCCTGATGAAGGCATCAGAGAGGATGCCGAAAGCTTGGCAAAATGGATATCGACGCGGTTCAACCCGGAAGACTGGTGAGTTTGATATTAATTTTTGTAATAATATTAATCTTAGCTCTAGGTTTCATATATATATATATATATATATATATATATATATATATATATATATATATATATATATATAAACAACATTATTTTTCTTGATTTAAGTGTAGAGTATATAACAACAATAACCGACTGATAACAACTAACTGGTTTACAAAAGATGTTTGGTCCGAATTAACGCACCTATAACGCATAAAAGAAGTTTTGTGAAAAACGTTATCTTACGAAAAAAATAATTATCCTCCAGAATTTTACAATTACCTAATTAAAAAAAGAAGTTGAAGTATGAGATATCAATCTAATTCCGATACCAATCCAATACAAACTCAAAGCATACCTAGCAATATTAATAGTAAATTTACTAAATTAAAAAAACACTATATATCCTTACCATACATTAATGGATTCTCTGAACAAATTTTAAAACCAATGACAAAAAGGATCATCAATCGAATGTTATTTATAAAATAAATTGTAAAGACTGCAATTCAACATATATCGGACAAACACACCAATATCTTCATAGAAGAATTGTTGCACATAAACATAAACCAAACACCGTTGTAAACACCGTTTACAAACCAAAAAATTAAACACTACAGCCTTATCCAAGTATTCTCTAGAAAATAGTCTTTCTTTTGATTTTGAAAACGTACACATTTTGGAAAAAGAATATAAATACAATCAAAGATACAGATTGGAGATCATTCACATAAAAAAGATCAAAATTCTATCAATAATAAGACTGACATCAGAGATCTTTTCAATATGTATCATAATTTAATAAATTGAGTTGTTTCTTCAATACACCATTTTCAGATATTTAAAATACGATCCTGAACTACTCGTATGTCAAATAGCTGAGCCTCGTCTGGTAGACGTGGTACGACAGACACATATTGAATATCTTCGTTATTAATTTCGTATTTCTTAATGGAAATAGAAAGTCCTCTACATGCCATTCATTTAACTTTGATTCTTTTATTTATTTTCCTTGTTTAGTTATTTTATTTACTTACTACTTACTATCGTAAGTAGATATATTTCTGGACATGTTCATGGACAGGGTATGTCAGGTGTGCTAGGTTGTGAGGTACCTCCTTCTAAACCCTGTCTGCTCTACTGGTTTGTATGTATCTAATTTTTGAAGGATACGTATTTATTTTTAGATGTTCTTTTATTCGTTATCTTTCTACTTTAAGCATATAATTAGGCTAGTTTACTATCCATTAAGTTTGCTTATTCAAAAACAGAAGTTATAGGTATTGAAAAAGATGCTCTGACTAAAAGTAGAATCCATACCATCTATAAAACAACTGTAGTATTTAACTTCTCTAAAATTATAGAAAATATTTTATAACGCACATTAAAGAAAACAATTTGAATAGTTGCAAACACTATTGGTCTAAAATTTTCGATAGAAAAACGATTTATACTCTTTGTCTATTTTATTTGAAATATCTAAAACGATGTCATATCCGTTTGATGACATATTTTTTCTTATCTGCATTTATATCTATATTAAATGTAATAATGGTATCATCGTGACAATTATGCGGTTTCAGAGAAATAAAATACAATGCAAATAGATTTATGGAAATTTAAAACCGATAATATTAAACGTACTAACGAATGGGAAATGCAAAATTCGTAAATTAAGAAACAAGCAAAATGAAATAAAATGAAATATAACTAGTAAATTTTTTATTAATAATTCCGGTTTTAATACCGGTATCCCGATATTTCAAATTTCAAATATCAAATACCGGTATTCAGATTTTAGTTTGGTATTAAAAGCCCTAATTACAAGAATAAAATGCCAAAACAAAAAATTAAAAAATAATCAATTCACAATTCATGAAATCATATTTGCAGAAGCATTGCAGCCAATAAAAATAACCAAGAATATTCTGCAACTGAAAAATCAATAAAATAAATAATGTTAATACTATTCTGAAGCTATTTTCTTGTGGCATTTTAAAGTAATTACCATTTTAATGGCAATAAGCCACAATTGAAGCTTAAAATAAGTTTATTGACGTTTCAATCTCCACTTCGGAAATTCTTCTCGAATACTTTTATGTCGAGTTAATATTTAGGTTAGTCCTGTCATGTGTTAAAGGTGATTTTCAGTGACGATAAACTGTAAACGATCAATTGCTACGTAATTATTGCGAATGGAAGAAGTTAATAATGCTACAGAAATGAAAAATATACTTAAACAAGAAAACAGAAAATAGTTACGAAGAATATAAACGACAAAGAAAGGTGGTGAAAGAAATGGCGCTGAAGAAGAAGAAGGAAGCCTGGGATGAGTTTGGAATGAAGATGGAGGCAGATAGCCGACGTAACCAAAAATTGTTTTACAAGGCACTAAAGACGCTAAGAAAAGGTAAAGAAACAACGATGAAACAGGTGAAACGTAAAGACGGCACGCTGATTAGCAGACCAAATGAGATTATGGAAAGATGGAGACAATACTTCAGCGAACTCCTAACACCAAGACAGCCGAAAGAGGAAACTGTAATGATAGAAGTAGTAGGAGAACATGGACAAGAAAATTATATCCAAATAGAAGAAGACATATATCTATCATAGAAGCAATTAATAATACAAAGAGAGGTAAATCGGCTGGTCATGACAAAATCACTGTTTAAACGTTAAAGACAATGGGACCGAAAGGACTTGAATTTTTAACCAAAATGATGAACATGGCTTGCAACCGATGTACAGTTCCCGAAAATTGGAGAATTGGCATAATACTACCAATCTTTAAGAAAGGAGATCCAAGTTCTTATGAAAATTATAGAGGAATTAATCTACTCAGTATCGTCTCCAAAATATATGAAAGCAT